AAAAAAAAAAAAAAAAAAAACCCGTCGGAAAATTATCGATATCCACACATTATATCGCGCGCCTCCTCTCGTTATATCGCTGATACAACTCGCGACTGTTGTTTGTTGCCGCCGTGAACTTTTCCCCTCAAAGAGAGACTACTGGCGAATAAAAAAAAATGAGAAAGAAAAACGTATTTCTGTGTGTGAGAGACGCGCGAGCGTGGAAAAAAAAAAAAAAGAACCGATTGTTAGAAAGAGACAAAAAACTGAGACGTTGCCCCCGCGCCGAGAAGAATAATCGCTCACGCAAAAAAAAAAAAAAAAAAACGTAATTCGATTCGACATTTGACTTGCGGTACGATATTGACCGGATCGAGAGATGCGCCGACTTCTCGTCGTCGTCGTCGTTTCTCACCGTCGTCGTCTCGTGGGTTGAATCCGCGCCTCCACGGACGACCTTTGCAACGACCGGTTGCGCGATCTCGAAAGAAGAGAAAAACACGCTTCTGTCGTGCGCAAAAAGCAGGTCCCGAACACACAAAGGCCGGTATTCGCGACCTGGATGTTCGCGTTGTTAAAAAATATCACGTCACGTTTCTTCGCGAGAGAACGCGTCTCTTGCAATAAAAAAAACGAAAAATTGGAAAACAATAAAATTTTTTTCGGAAAAATAATCAAAACCTGTGTGCCCGCCGAGTCTCAAAAAAAATTGTCTAACGTTTTTTTTCCATTATCTGAAATTGATGAAATAGTGAAAGCAATACGACATGCGAATAGGAATCGCGTTTGACGCGTGAGAAGACCTGTATCGCGCGACATAAACGCGTTACTCGCGCATCTGCCGCGAAGCATATTGCCAGCGAGGAGAGATGCGCGCGCGCGCGCGCGAGTACACGAAGCGCGGCGCGGGTTTTAAGAAGAGGAGAGAAAGAGAAAGAGCTGGTCAACTCGTTGACATTTACTCGCTTTCGCGACTTTTTTTTTTTCTCTTCCAACGGCGCATCTACGTGCAATCTACGTCGCGGTGCTTATTGTCATCGTCCTTGAGAGCTGGAAAAATCTGCCGCAAGCTTTTCGAACTGTCGATTGATCGAATCGATCTGTACGATCGAGATTTTTCGTTGCGAGCCGATGCCGCGCGACGTGCGTTTTTAAACGCGAATGACACGCGTTACAAGACAGCGCGCGTTTGATTCTGACCGCGGGCTATCCCTAGGGCATAAGGACGTCCTTATTAGCTCCTCGAATAGCTCGAGCTTGCGTTATTGTTATTGCGGCGGCGCCGATCGCGATTGCGAAATCGAAAAAGATCGCCGACTCTAAAATTGTTAAATAATAAATACGCGTGAAATGTCTTCCCGCTTTTGAATTCATGAATAACTTCGCACGTAGCTCCGGGGCAAAACAAAAAACGGAGTCATCATTCGAATGTTTAATCCGCTTCGAATTTTTGTGAATCGGACATCGAGTGCCGATTAAACGTCTCATTTGCGCGAATGGAAAGTTACACGCTTCTCTCGCGCACCACTTTCGCGAGGATGAGCGAATTTAAAGCGAGAAAGTTTTTGGGGGGGAAACTAAATCCGGGAAAGGTTTTTTTTTATCTTTGATACGCGTTCAATTGCTTTCAAACGATTGAAATATGAGATGTAATAATTAAAAAAAAAAAAAAAAAAACGAACTTCTTCTTCTCCTTTCGCTCCCCTCTCGTAAAAAACACCATACGCGCTCTCAAACGTTTTATACAATTTCTTGCCCCCAAGTCTCTCGGCCCGTTGCGCAATTCCAAGAGTGTATCGATGTGTATTGTAGACATTTCAACGAGAGAAGACAGGTTTAACGTGGAATTTAACATCGCGCGTCCTTATCTGGAATTTCTGTAACCTCACGCGCGCGCGCGCGCGCGCGGTGCGCCTTGCGGAAAAGGTTCTCCGCGCGTTGCACGAATCGCATCACCGTCGTCGTCCCCCCGGGTAATGTGTCCATCTATCGCGTGTCTTCTTCTTCGTCGAGAGACGGAGTTAAGTGTGCAAATTTTTATTTTTTTATGCATATTGCGGTATTTTCTCTCCGATTCAACGCGCGCGCGCGCGTTTCTATGTCCACAAAGTTTGCAAGTTTCTATTTCGGTAACGCGTGTTAATATTCTTGAGCAATTTTGTGTTTGTTTTTAAATTCATTTTTATACAGAGAGATTGCCCATCACTCCCTTTCTCTCTCTCTCTCTCTCTTTTTCTCTCTCTTCTTGATCAATATCGCGTCTATATTGAATGTGTTTTCCGCAACTAAGTAAAACCTTGACTTGTGTTTGGAGACGATCACAAATACTAAAGAGAGTCTAAAAGTCTCGTGGTTATTAGCATCTCCATACGATGACGTAAGAAATCAAATAAAATGCTCGCTCGCAGATATAAAATAAAGTTTCGCGCGCGCGCGCAAACAATTTTATTATATTCCGCGCGCGTACTTTAAAGAAGATACAAGTTATTGATCGTAAAAGCGGCGATTGTCCGCTTCTCGAAAACCCATTTGCGTGATGAAATGTTTATATATTTTCGCGCGCAAAAATCGAGGCCGTTTTTTTTTCGGACACCGTCGAATATGAAAGTTTTCGTCGAAAATGCGAAAAAAGCGTGGAAAAACAAAATTAAATTGCCGATAAGTTTTTTTAAAGCAGACGCACAATTGACACTTCGTATATTTCGCGTGCAATCCGAGCACGCGAAAAAAAAACGAGGATCGACGTGCAATCCGACATGGGATTTACGTCTCTCGGGGGGGGGGAAGGGGAGGAGAAAGAAAAAGAGGCTCCATGGTCTTCTTCCATGATCTTTGCATAATCGATGTATAATCAACGGGGGTTTGACCGTTTACGGGTCGCGAGTCGTGACGAGTACTGACTTTCTCACGTGCAAAAAAGCTAAAGACCGAAAAGACGATCGTTTCGTCAATAGAGCGGCATCGAGAAGATCCGGCAGAAGTTTTTGCAACGAGCAATTTACGTTGCACCGAAACAATATCGTTTGTCTTGAAAAAAAAAGAGACAGTCTTAAAGACTTAAAGAGAGAGAGAGAGAAATTCTTTACAAATTACGTAATTCTCGTTATTTTTTCTCGAGAAAAACAACGTCGAATCGTTATCGATGTTCCAAAACTTATACGGAAATACTTATTTAGATTTTTATTCGAAAAATTCGAAAGAAAACAGGTTGGACCGTGCGAGAGGACGAGAAAATATACCGTCGAATAGAGACAAAACCCTGCATGAAGAGCCGGAGAGATAATAACCGGAGGCGCTCCTCCTCGAAGCGCTTCTCGTCGCATCTTCTGAAATGGCAAGGTCGCCGGTAGTTACGTCACCAACTTTCCTCCCCGCCGCGGCGAGTAACAACTTCGAGAAAAACCAAATGTCACCAATGGACCAAGGACGTTTTCGGCGACAATGTAACGTGACGTCGTCTTTGGCCCGAACGCGCGTTTAAAAAGAAACCGAATTTCTGTTGTGACTCTCTCGTCTTCGTCAAAGATGAACGTTTTTTTTTTTTTTTCCTTAAACGTGCGCGCGGCCTTGATCCGCGGAAGGACTACCTGTTTGTAGAAAACCGGCTACCTCTCTGTGCAACAGAGAAAATGTGTGTGCAAGCCGAAGAGAAGCGGGGCGGCGCGTCGGGTGTCCGATTGCGACACACTACACCTCAATTTTCAGAACGGAGCGCGCGTCTACTAAAAGACCTTCTAATTTCGTCATTTATTCGCGCGCGCTTATAAGAGAAGAAGAATGCGAACGTCGCGGGGCTTCTTCCTCGCGCGCGGGCGAGTCGCCCTTGACAGTGATTCATGGGATGACATGCCTCCCGCGGAAAGTGTTCCGAGAGACACGTTCGAGTCGTTTTGTTGGTTGCGTTTGTGCGAATATATATACGCGCGCGAATAAAAATGCGCGCGTTCCGGAATGACGTTGCGCAACCACAAGCTCGCTTTGCGAAGCGCAGACAACAACACTCGAACGCGCGGTGCAAAAATCGAAAAACACATATTTGCTCCTTGTGACACAACGAACGTTGCAATTCCTTTTGAAATTTGCCAGAAAAAAAAAAAAAAAAAAAAAAAAACAACAATTACGCACGGCGTAATTTTGTAAACAAAATTTGGCGCGCGCATCCATGCGACATCGCCGCGCGAGACCACGATAATTCTCTCAACGATGATATTCCCCTCTCCCGCATCGGTAAATATCCACTAATGATGCAAGACGCGCGTCGTTAAGTTCCGTCACGCCTCTCGCGTGCATCTCGGTGCGCGAGCGCGTTCGGTAATTTTTTTAAACCCCGGCGAACTTCAACACACACAACATATTATGTAATATTAAATCTCGTTAAACTTTAAATCGCATTTGTGTTCGGGGGGCTCTCGCGCATCATCTGCGACGCGGCGGCGGCGCGCAACGTGTTATTTCCAGCGCGCGACGATTATGTGCGTAAATTAATCGTTACGGGAACACACACAACAGCCTGGCGCGCGCGATTGTGTAATTGCACAACAACAACAAAAAAATATTAATATTCCCGCGTTTAAATCTTTTGACATTCGGAATCGATCTCGTCCAGATCGATATCGCAAAAAAAAACACGTTTGTTGTTATCAGCGTTTGGAAAACGATCCAACGGTAATCGACTTGAACATGACGGTCTTATCAGGTCATCGCGATGATTGACGAGTAAATTTTCTCTATATCACACCCGCCTGTTTTTTTTATACAAAGAGTGCTTCCGCGCACACGAAGAAGTTTCTTTTGACGCGCGCAACATTGCGTCCAGGTGTAGTTGTTGTTTTAACAAAGCCGCAACATAAATCATGACCGGCGACGTGGCCGCGTCATTGGTCGCGTCGCAACATCCTCGCCGGGATCCTCGCCCGCGGATTCATCCGCGCGAATCCGTCGGGACTGTGTGTGTGTGTGTTGCTCGCACGCCAAGTGGGGGAAAGTGTGCATCGCGATTTTCCGCCTATATAAAGACAGTTCCAACGACGATTCCCGGGTAAAATCTCGTGTAACGTGGTGTGTTTTATCGTATTTAGGGAAACGAAGGGCCGCAACACCGCCTTTTTGGGATCGCAGAGAGGAACATCGGATTCACGATGAAGACGGTGGGTCCGCTCTTCTTTCGCGCCCAGAAAGATCGCGATCGAGATTACGCATCGCCTCCTCGGCCGCGATGATTCGTTCTTTTTTTTTTTTTTTTTTTTTTTAAGCCGACGGGGGGAACCGAGAGATGGACGCGGGGGTTATAACGCCGCAATTTCGAGACGGGCCGGGTCTCTCTCTCTCTCTCTCTCTCTCTCTCTCTCTCTCTCTCTCTCTCTCTTTCTCTTTTTCTCTCTTTCGGCGCAGCCTCCCAAATTTTTACGCAACAGTGAAAGTGAAGAGGATTTGTGACATTTGTGCGCGCTCGTTCGCGCGTGTGGATTTACGCACACACTTTGCTCCGCGCGTGATACACCGCTCCGGGAGAACACAAGAAGGTTCTTCTTTCTCTACAGGGTGTCGCGCGAAATCCCCGTTTGACGGCTAATTTTTTTACGGCGAAGGATCAATTATCTCGGAACGTTCTCATTTGAAGGAAGAAACATCGCGAGAAAAGATTCTCTCGCGAACGAGCGCCTTTCTGACAAATGTCGAATGTCTCGGTCGTGAATTAAAAATTATTCTTCGAAGAGCTTCGAGGAGATGTGAATCTCAATTAATTTTTCACGTTTCACATTAATCGGAACTCGATCTTATTTTGTATAACTTGCTTTTGTGCAAAGACGAACCTGTACGGACGACCAATCAGAAATTATGCGCGGTGTTTCGATAAGAAAAAAAAAAAAAAAAAATCTTCGGCCAAAGTTGATTAAAAACTTTGAGATGTTCGCGACACACTCTGTACACACGCCTGTGGTTTGGCTCGCCGAGAAACCGAGAGATTACGATATCTCGGCAACGAATTTCGCAACGCGCGTCGATCTAATAATCGATCGACGAAAAAAGTCAGGTCAGGTTTCGAGAAAGAGGATCGGATTCTCTCGATCTCATCATCGTTAAATTGTTTAGCCTTCGCGTTTGTAGCCCACATCTCTCGTCCCATCATCGCGTTATTACACGTGTGTGCCGCGCACACACGTAAAAAACAAATGTCCGTCATCAATCGCGTCTAAAGTGTCCTCGTCTCTCATCTCGCAACACGTTTTGTGTTCGGCAAAAAATAAAAAATCTTTCTTGCATTATTGCCACGATAGATCTTCGTTGTTTTGGCGCTGGTTTTGGCCGGCGTTTGCGCGGCGCCGCAGGGCAAACCGAACGACGTCACGATCGTTAAGCAGGAAGAGGTGAACAACATAGGTATAGGTGGTTATCGGTTCAGCTACGAGCAGAGCGACGGCCAGAAGAGGGAGGAAACGGCCGAACTTAAGAACGAGGGCACCGAGAACGAGGCGCTCAGCGTCGTCGGTAGCTTCAGTTTCATCGCGCCGGACGGACACACGTACAGGTACGTGATGGATGAAGAAAAATCGTTCGGGGAAAAAAATTCAGAGAAGTGTCGGGGTTGCTACTTCCAACACGTCGCGTAATCCACTTTCCGCTTAACGATGTTTGCGCTTCGTCGTCTCGAAGATCGCGTTCGAGAGATTGCGCACATGTACCTCCCGCACATCTCGATTTGATATTTTAATTACTCCTCGTACCTCTTCTCTCTGATTACAGGGTCGATTATACCGCGGACGAGAACGGTTTCCATCCCACTATCAATCTCGTTGCGAAGTAACCGGACTCGAGGACTGAAGTTACATCATCTTAGGGACTATCCGGTCGTCGACGTACACACTCGTGCGATTCGCACACGCATTAGGATATATATATATATATATGTAATTAGGGATTTAATACACGCTGCGAGACGCGCGATTCACACTAACACACACTACAAACACGATGGGGAAGAGATCGCCATCGATCACCCGCGTGATCGATCCTTTTTTTTTTTTTTTTGTTTTTCTGCGAATTCGAAATTTATTCCACTGTCGCGAGATGTTTCGCAGAGAAGAAATTGTGAAACGCACGTGTCGTTTCTCCTCTGCACAAACATTGGCAACCAGGGGATTCAATCCGTCGTTATAATTGTTTTCGCTCTTACAAATCGTTTTTTTCTCTCTCTCTCTCTCTCTCTCAAAACTGAACGCGGATTTTTTTGCGGACAGCAATGCACGCTCGAATAAGTCTCGATGACGTCGCGAATGTAAAAGTTTTGAGAGAAACAAGATAAGATGATTGATTTTCGCTCTTTCGAGAAACATCGGCATTTATATGTATAATTGCGAAAAACGCGGCAATAAGCTACGAGTCTTCTGCGCGGGCGTGCATTCGCGTGTTCCGCGAGAGTAAAACGCGCGTTTTTTTTTTTTTTTTTNAAGCCGACGGGGGGAACCGAGAGATGGACGCGGGGGTTATAACGCCGCAATTTCGAGACGGGCCGGGTCTCTCTCTCTCTCTCTCTCTCTCTCTCTCTCTCTCTCTCTCTCTCTCTTTCTCTTTTTCTCTCTTTCGGCGCAGCCTCCCAAATTTTTACGCAACAGTGAAAGTGAAGAGGATTTGTGACATTTGTGCGCGCTCGTTCGCGCGTGTGGATTTACGCACACACTTTGCTCCGCGCGTGATACACCGCTCCGGGAGAACACAAGAAGGTTCTTCTTTCTCTACAGGGTGTCGCGCGAAATCCCCGTTTGACGGCTAATTTTTTTACGGCGAAGGATCAATTATCTCGGAACGTTCTCATTTGAAGGAAGAAACATCGCGAGAAAAGATTCTCTCGCGAACGAGCGCCTTTCTGACAAATGTCGAATGTCTCGGTCGTGAATTAAAAATTATTCTTCGAAGAGCTTCGAGGAGATGTGAATCTCAATTAATTTTTCACGTTTCACATTAATCGGAACTCGATCTTATTTTGTATAACTTGCTTTTGTGCAAAGACGAACCTGTACGGACGACCAATCAGAAATTATGCGCGGTGTTTCGATAAGAAAAAAAAAAAAAAAATCTTCGGCCAAAGTTGATTAAAAACTTTGAGATGTTCGCGACACACTCTGTACACACGCCTGTGGTTTGGCTCGCCGAGAAACCGAGAGATTACGATATCTCGGCAACGAATTTCGCAACGCGCGTCGATCTAATAATCGATCGACGAAAAAAGTCAGGTCAGGTTTCGAGAAAGAGGATCGGATTCTCTCGATCTCATCATCGTTAAATTGTTTAGCCTTCGCGTTTGTAGCCCACATCTCTCGTCCCATCATCGCGTTATTACACGTGTGTGCCGCGCACACACGTAAAAAACAAATGTCCGTCATCAATCGCGTCTAAAGTGTCCTCGTCTCTCATCTCGCAACACGTTTTGTGTTCGGCAAAAAATAAAAAATCTTTCTTGCATTATTGCCACGATAGATCTTCGTTGTTTTGGCGCTGGTTTTGGCCGGCGTTTGCGCGGCGCCGCAGGGCAAACCGAACGACGTCACGATCGTTAAGCAGGAAGAGGTGAACAACATAGGTATAGGTGGTTATCGGTTCAGCTACGAGCAGAGCGACGGCCAGAAGAGGGAGGAAACGGCCGAACTTAAGAACGAGGGCACCGAGAACGAGGCGCTCAGCGTCGTCGGTAGCTTCAGTTTCATCGCGCCGGACGGACACACGTACAGGTACGTGATGGATGAAGAAAAATCGTTCGGGGAAAAAAATTCAGAGAAGTGTCGGGGTTGCTACTTCCAACACGTCGCGTAATCCACTTTCCGCTTAACGATGTTTGCGCTTCGTCGTCTCGAAGATCGCGTTCGAGAGATTGCGCACATGTACCTCCCGCACATCTCGATTTGATATTTTAATTACTCCTCGTACCTCTTCTCTCTGATTACAGGGTCGATTATACCGCGGACGAGAACGGTTTCCATCCCACTATCAATCTCGTTGCGAAGTAACCGGACTCGAGGACTGAAGTTACATCATCTTAGGGACTATCCGGTCGTCGACGTACACACTCGTGCGATTCGCACACGCATTAGGATATATATATATATATATGTAATTAGGGATTTAATACACGCTGCGAGACGCGCGATTCACACTAACACACACTACAAACACGATGGGGAAGAGATCGCCATCGATCACCCGCGTGATCGATCCTTTTTTTTTTTTTTTTGTTTTTCTGCGAATTCGAAATTTATTCCACTGTCGCGAGATGTTTCGCAGAGAAGAAATTGTGAAACGCACGTGTCGTTTCTCCTCTGCACAAACATTGGCAACCAGGGGATTCAATCCGTCGTTATAATTGTTTTCGCTCTTACAAATCGTTTTTTTCTCTCTCTCTCTCTCTCTCTCAAAACTGAACGCGGATTTTTTTGCGGACAGCAATGCACGCTCGAATAAGTCTCGATGACGTCGCGAATGTAAAAGTTTTGAGAGAAACAAGATAAGATGATTGATTTTCGCTCTTTCGAGAAACATCGGCATTTATATGTATAATTGCGAAAAACGCGGCAATAAGCTACGAGTCTTCTGCGCGGGCGTGCATTCGCGTGTTCCGCGAGAGTAAAACGCGCGTTTTTTTTTTTTTTTTTACTCGCAATCGACATAATAATAATAATACACATTTATTCAGTTTCTCAAAAAACTTAGCCGAGAGGAACACAGTTTGAACGAGAGACACGTCCCAGGGATCCCGTTCGTTTGCGTTTTGTCTATATCCCAAGCGAGGCGACGACGCAGCACTCATTGAAGCGCCGCGGAATCTGCGTTTTTTTTTTTTTTTTTTTTAATTCCACATGCGCGCAACTCCCCTTCTTCACGCATGTAACTATATACAATAGAAAAAAAAATGCAATTTCGTACAAATAAACTTCTATACATGAGATCGATTGTTTAAACTGAAATAAACACACACACACACATCTTGCCTTCCGTACAACAAACTCCACATCCTCACTTTGATCCTCCGTCACGAGACGTCTCTCCCTTCTCCCCGTTCCCACCGCGAAGTAACGAGCTCGCTCGGTCACGCTCGCTTTTCTTTCTCATATCAATCAAGCTTATTAACGTACAAACACGCTCGGGTGGAGAAAACAATGTGACTTTTTATGCTGAAAAAAATGTTTAATTCCACATATAAAAAGAAGATCGATTATCGAACGATGCGTTGTACGAAAAAAAAACTATATCACTACTTACGTTAACATCAAGTATGCAATAACAGTTTATAAATCATATAATAATTACTTACATATCAATTAATGTATATGCATAATATAAGTGTGTCTGCCGCAACACATAAATATTTCAAATACATTTGCTTTTAACACTAAATTTTCTGTATATATATTATATATATATATATATATATGTGAGTAAATTATTTACAATTTTTGTTTTTTTTTGTTTTTTGTTTTTTTTTGTTTTTTTTTTTTGCGCGCCGAGATAACGACGTATCGCAACGTTAATACGTATATTAGAAGAGTATGTTTTTGTTGCTTGGTGCTTTATAAACATACATAACCAAACCAGTTTTCTCGAAAACTTAAAAGAAATAAGCGCACAATCTGAGAAAAGCGGTTTTAATTGTGCCTACAATCGAAACCCTCACGTTTTCACACGTGTGCGACACCGAAACAATATATACCAAGTGTTTTCTCTTTCTTGCAATTGAAACACCGTCAAATTCCATCTATGGCACTTTTTGATCAACCATGAGCGTTAGACTACGCGCGCGTGGTCCCGATATAAAAATATAAATATCGCATTGAACGTTTAATATACGCACTCGCATATATATACTAGATATTTTTATATGTATACATTAGATATTTTGCTCAAAAAAATCGGTCTTTTTCAATTCGGTCTGTAAATTAATCAAATAAGGTTGACAAAACTTCCACAGATTACGTCCTCATCAAAAAAATAAAATAAAAAAAAATTAAAGCTATAAAATAAAGATGTCAGTAAAAAAAATTTATTATTTATAATGATGGTTAGAAAAAAAAAAAAATAAAAATTTGACTCTGACGGAACGTAGTTCCGTTAACATTCTGTATGTTTCTTAACGCTTGAAATCACTTGCATTTATATATGCATTAGTTTACGTATATTGTAGTCATATTGTTTTAAAATTATGATTATTTTTGCGTACACACATTACTTATATATATATATATATTGATTAGACGTAAATAAGTATATATATTTTAACATGATTATAAGAGCAGGTCGGATTTTTGTTTTCTTTGCTAAGTATTTTGTCGAAGCATTTTATGTCGCGATTATTAACATGTATCTCTCATTATCTCAATGTAATCGGAACGTATTCTTGATACGTTGCTTGAGATTAAGCGAGGATTAAACGACGTCTAATAAATTTAAACGTTTTTTTTTTTTTCTTTCTAAGCTGGATTTCTGAAAGGTCCCCAAGCTCTGATCAAGCTCAGAGTCTTGTTCAATTTCGACATCCATTGCAATCCCAATTCCTTCGTGTCAGCTGAAATAAGATGCCTGCAAACACACATAGTTTTATGAGAATAAAAATTTATTAACTAAATAACTTTATTGATATCGCGTATCTAATATGTGGTATGTACACTAAAAGATGATACGTACTCTATTGTGGTTTCGATCCCGTTTGTTTTCATAATAAGACTGTCGGCGTCCTCCGGCTGCGCAGGTCTCATTGTCTCGAGGAGAAACGTGAAAGGACGAGCACATTTTTCTCGATTTACAAATTGTACATTCTTTGTAAACATACCTGGCGAAATAAGATATTTATCAGGGTTTCGGCAATTCCGAAACAAATCGCAGCTAATACATAGCGATAAGAAAAGAGACACATAGAAAAGTTCAAGTAAAAAATTACCTTCCAAGTTGAGATGTCCGATCGGATTCTTCTTGTGTTCATCCTCAGGATATTCCCAATAGTACAGTTTAGCGTCTTTAAGCCAGCACCATCTTCGACACCAAGCAGGTAAGTTAGTAACATCCTTGAAAAAGGTCAAGAATCCGTGATGTTCCACCGATACCGAGAGCTTGCGCGATATGCGCATTCGCAAATATCCTTCCAAAGGAGAATTCGACGAAATCTAAATCAAAAAGTGTTAATTACAATGTGTGTCAAAAAAATAAAAACACATATCGGAGTAACAAATTACGGGGATGCTGAATGAAAAAAAAACACACGTACTCCGAGCAGAGCGAATTGCTCGCGATTTACGTCCTTTAGGGTAAGAGTACAACAACCAGACGGTTTGAAAGCAGGTGATCTGATCGCGGTCGGTCCTGCCGGGCTCTGTATATCCGGCATTACGAATTGATTCTTTTTCTTTGGTGTCTTATCTTTCTTTGCTGCCTGTTAAATTTCACATGTTTAATAAACAATATTACACATCTGTACTTTAGCAAATTCCCTTCTTACTTACTTTCGCGTTAAGACTGATATGGTATTTCTTTTCGTGCGGCAAGAATTTCGGTTGCGTCTGAAAAGAATATACCTCAACATCGATCTTGAAGTCGCTGTACAAATTTTCAAGTTTTAGCATTGAAGTGAAACGTAGACACGAATCACCTGGTTCGGCAGTGGCTGCTTGAGTAGCCACCACTTCCCCTAAGTGGTACATCAAGCAAACACAGTGAAGATACGTGTCTGCAACAATTTAAGTTAAAAAATTATTTAAAAATTTCAATTTGTCGTGAAAGTAAAAAATTTGAAGACATTGTCTTGCTAAACTTACTCATGTCCATATTTCGAAAATATTCTTGCTTCAGTGGTAAAGTAATAGCAGAAATGGTTAAAGACCCGCTTCCTTGCACTTCTGGCGAACCTGGCTTGGCAGGTCTCAATGTGCCTTCACGTTTCAACCTCTGAATCTCATTCAACGCAGCCTGACGTTTATGAGCTAAACGTACAAAAAATTTTATTTTTTACACATAGTCTGCAATACTATTAAAAACTCTATTTTTTATAAACAGAAAGTATTAATATTCAAGATTAAATTCAATGTCTGATAAAATGTGAAAATATCGTGTAAAAATCGAAATTTACTGGCGACAAGCAGAGCCCATTCTCCTCCAACGTGTTCGCTCGAGCCGTTGAACTCAACGGTAGAAAGACACAAGTTCAACGCTTTGGATGCCCCTTCAATTTTATTCTGCTGCTGTTGCACTTGTTCCAACAGATTCTTCACTTTCTCCTCGACCAAACGCGATTCGTTCTCGCGATTTTCCGCGGATCCGGAAGTTGGATCAGATTCCACGGCTTTCGCAGTCGAACGCATCTTGGCCAACTAAAATTACATTATAACAACGTCGTGAAAATCTTCCTCTGTGTATCTTTATATATATATATACATATATTGAAATATTTAATTACTCACTTCAAACTGCTCTCGTCTGTACGCGCTAACTGTGCGCGTTAACGGTACGCGCTGACCATCTTGCTCTATGCAGACGTCAGGTTTCTTCGGGGATGGGATTGACGAGACGGTTTTCAAAGGCGATCGATATCTGTAAATTAGCAATTGATTATTTGCAGATATATAGTTGAAAAAAATAAATACTTTTAACAACAATTTAAAGTGTATCGATCGAACGTACTTGATGATACTATTGCACCTCGGACTCGCTCCGCTTTTATTCACTTTCGGCGGTGTTGGACCTTCTTCCTTCACGTCTTCCTCATTACGCAGTTCTTCGAGACATTCGTCCAAATATTGATCCATGTCATTGAGCGCTGAAAACTCTGACGTGCTGTCCGGATCCGGTTCTATGGATCGCTGTAATCGCAAGTTTTGTTTTGTTTTTGTTTTGTTTTTTAGCAAAACATAATATTTAACGCGTAATATCGCGGCGTTGATTTTCTATACGTACCTTTTTGTTAAACAACGCGCGTTCATTAAACGCGTGCAAAACGGTGCGGCAAAGGCTTGTACGACCAAAGGACGAATTGATTGTGCCTTCACTTTCGGATTCTCGATCAGTGTCGTTCTGTAACATTAATTGCAAAATGCATAAATTTATATCTTATGTGTGCGCGATTTTATTGTTTGATTTTATATTTTTAATAAATTTACCCGAACGTAAAACTCGGCTTCGGTGGCGGTGTCGGTTTCGGAATCGGTTCTCTCATCGAGAGTAGCTGTCACGGCCTCGGTGCTGTTCTCGCTGGTGTATTGCGATTCGGTCTCACTTTCCTCCGTCGTTGTGGCCTCGATCTCAGACAGATTAGGGTAAAGAGATCCAGGTTTCGGGGGACACACTCGAATACGCTTAACGTCCGGCACCGCGTTCAAGTGTTGTACCTTAGGTGAACTTCCAACAACTGTAAAATGTCAAAAAACAAGAATGTTAGGAGACTTATATATCACGTATACAAAAAAAAAAAAAAAAAAAAAAACTAATTCATATTTTTACCTTGTCTTTTCACTGGAGATTTGCTACACGGCACGCTTTTGGATTGTGGCGATGGCAATGGCGGCGGCGGCGGTGGAGCTGCACCAGTGACGTTGTCCTACATTTGACAAAAAAAATTAAAAATAAATATCACAAGAAAAAATAGATGTAAAAAATAAATGCAAATGTAATTTCTTACCGGAGCGGGTGTCGGTTTTACCGGACAAATGAGTGAATTTTTGGGGGAGGACGGTTTGCCTCCTTCGCTACTCTCGCTCGTTCGCACGCAGACAGAACGACTGTTTCCAGTTTCTTTGTTCGCGTTGAAACGCGAACGCAACATGTTCAACTCGCGCTGTCTCTCGGCGTAAGTGGCTTGCAAAATTTGATTCTCCATTTCTTCGACTTTGTTTCGGTTGTTGCCCTGTTCGAACACCGCGCACTGCTCGAGAACCGTTTTTCCCGGAGTCTTGGAGTTTCGATTATTCGGAGACGAATCTAAGAAAAAAGAACGTCAAATAAAATAAAACTGCACTATATATATATATATATATATATATATATGTGTGTGTGTTGCGCAATTAAAAATTAATGCGTACCCGCGTTAGATCCTGACGGTACGTTAGACTTCTCCTGTAATTTCTTGGGCGGTATGGACATCGTGAGCGGAGCTTTAGGTATTAATGGCCCAACTCCCTTATTTCGCTCAAAGAGCGCCATTCTTTCGGCGAGCGTCATCTGAGCGGGATCCTTTGCCTGCGAATCTGCGTTTTTGGCCTCGAACATCGACGCCTTGCTCAATACCGAACCTGACGGTTGAACCAGAGTCTTTGGCGAACCATTAAATCCAAGTCGCGTGGGTAAGCGAGAGCTACTTGTGGTATTTGCATTTTTGGCAAGTTTTTCAGGAGTATGAGAAACTTTACTGTCGTTACTCTTAGAAGAGTTAGCCGAACTTCCGGTCAAACTAGAGTCATCGTCTGTTCTCTTGGTTTTCGACGAATCGGATTTGCCAGGTGAGACTAGTTTCTTTTCTTCTACCTGGCGATGAACGCTACTTGCGCGCTTGATAGGCGACGAACTTCTTGTAACCCCTTTCTTCAATTCCTGGGAAAAATTCTTATAGTCATACACAAGGCGAGTATTGCTTTGCGTGCGACTAAAACCTTGCGCTTCCTGCAAATATTTGATTTAGCTTGCGAAACACAATCGTCGAATCGCTAGGTTTTTTTTTTTTTTTTTTTTATCAAAATTTAAAACTTCAATACTGTATAAAAACATATATTGCAAAGAAAAATTAAACGAGAAATAAAAAAAAATTACAAAAATTTCATAAAGCTTTAGTCTTTGATTATTTTTTGTTTAAAGAACAAATTTGAGTTTTGCCTTACCAAGCTTTCTAGAACATTTTTGTCCCACTTTAAATGCTTAATTGGACTCGGATCCTTGATCTTCTTGTCATTAGTGTGAGCGACCCACATGACGTTCTTACTCGTGCTTGGCTGAGGCTCTGACGCACTTTTGACTTGTTCATTGAACTTTGCTTGTATCCTTTCCGCTTTGTCTGGTGTTTTGTTCTAAATAATTTATTAATTATTAAAATAATAATTATATAAAAATTAATTGTATAATAAAAAAAAACTGAGATATAAAAAGACTTTCTTTCGGTTGCACATTTGCAAAATAAATACTATAAAAATCATTAATTATAAAACGGATATATAAAAAAATACCTTTCCACTAGGTAACGTTGGATGAGACAGATCATCTTCCCAATTATTAATTGTGGAAGCTAACGCTGCTAATCTGTCGAGTCTAGCGCCTCTCTTCGTCGGTTTGTGATCAATAATACTTTCTTCCGCGTTAAATTTCTCTTCCGTCCTGTGTATAGGAGAACTTAATCCGATATTAGTATCATCTGCAGAAAGAAATTGCATGTTAATTTCATCTAAAGTACGTAAAAATGTAAGATATGAATTTTAGATAATTAAAAAATTGCAAAGTAGAATAATCGTGATTTTTGCAATAAAAATTCTAAAGATTAATTCTAAAGAGTCTGTAAATACTAAAACAAAAGCACGGCCATATGCACATAATTGTGTAGAGCTGTGTAAACATATCTGCGTGTCGGTATCGGAGGAACAAGTTTTAAGCAATTTGTGTGGGAGCGCCACGAACAGATTGCGTGGGAGTAAATGAGCGGAAAGAATTTAAAGAGGAACTTGAGAACACAGTGTGCGTGTGTACTATTCATCTGAGAAAATTTAATTCTTCAAATTTATTCAATCAACTTCTCAATTCAAAATAAATGTTGCACCGATAAATTATTTTCTGCTCACCGGAATATAATTTTCCAAGTCTCTGTAATTTAGATTTGACGTTAGAAATTGCAACTTCGCCGTTCTCCTTGTTATCTTGCGTCGTTTGCTCATTGGTATCAGACTTGACACTCTTGGAAACGAAGGATTTAACAGGTGATTTGACAGTGACATTGCTCGTGGGTTTGACTGGGGATTTCACAGGACTACTCGCTGCTGCTGTTGATATATCCAATAATACACACATATTATATGTAAACTGTTTTTCTATTCACATGTGAAATTATTAAACTTTCTAATATAACAGCTTGACAGTAAACCTGTTTGAAAAAAAATTACCTGCAGCTTGTTCCAATAGAGCGTTTGCGTCCTTCAAAGGACTCCGTCTTTTCTTAACGTCATGCCCCACACTTGACAACTGTTCGTCCAATTTCTCTCTTCTTGCAGCAGCACGTTCCAACATACGCTGCTTTGCAAAAAATCAATCAATCAAAAAAAAAAAAACCAAAAAACGTGTATACAAACATCAAAAAACAAAAAAAAATACATTTGTTTAAAATGTAATATTTAAAGAACAAATATAGAGAAAGCCGGAGGGAAACGGACGTAAATTTGTATCGACACGAGCATTATAAATCTATTCGTACAACGCATTTTACGTATGTACGTCACAGTGAGGCGTCGGTGCTTCGTTGCGTTGTAAAGATGTACACAAAGGAAAGACAAAAAGAAAAAAAAAGAGAGACTCTGGATTCTTACCTGAATAAAGGGCTCCATTGTTCGATCTGCAGGCTCGACTTTTTCAACTGAACTGCGTTCAATCATTCGAGGACGCCTCAATCCTCAAAACTACGCTATGAATGGAAGGAACGGTCCTTTACGCACTGGAACGCACGAAAAGTGTATCCTTATTTCCGACCGTTGAATTTAAACGCGAGCGCCATGCTGGTCAGCGAGGCGGGGGGCCGTCGGGGGGAGAACAACGAGCACGAAATGACAGTTCTCACTGGCTCCCCTCCACTTCGTGATTCACCGCGCCGATATCTCTCACGCGTGTGTACACATTTGCCAACATATAAATATACAACCGTGTGAATCGAGAAATGCCCGCGCAACGGCCCTTCACCTCGCGCGTCAAACAAACGTAACGCGCCTTTAATTGTTTTTGTTGGCGTTTCGTTCGTTCGACGGAAACTTGCAATCTTCGTGCATTTTTCGCACGTGCGCGTCACATGTGCTCCGAAAAAAAAATCGAGAAAAGACGAGGCAAAAGTCTGTGTGAGGGAGAAAAAATGAAACCATGTTCAGCAGATCGTCCACACAGTGAGCGCTTAGTGGATTCTTCATTATATATTGGTTTCTACACTTAGATCCGGCGAAGATCTAAAGGCAGGATTCAATCGTATTAAAGAATCACTTAAATCGGATCTGCTCGGTCTGCTGAACGTGGCCAATAACAATATTTATACGTATTATAAATTTGTTAAACGCGCGCGGTGAATTGAGCAAAAAATTCGTGCGTTATTATGTATATTATGAAATTACCTCGTATCCATGTGTTCTATGTGGAAAGAGTTCAAAATGATCCGCAAGCCAAGCTCGAGTCGAGATCCGCGCTGCACGTTGCACGAACGAAGTATGAACAGAGTCGAGAGGAACAGACACGAAAGATGCGAGAAGCTGCAAAATCCCCCCCCCCCAGTCACGTAGCTACGAGCTCTCTCGCTCTCGGTCGTGAAATTTGCGCATCCTTTGGAAATTTAATTACACGAAACAACGAAAGAAACTCGCGAGCGAGAAAAAAATGTTTGTTTCGTAAGCTTGCGGTTAGAGAAAACAAAATTTTGTTTTTAATTAACGCCAACTTTTCACTTTTTTTTGGACTAGAGAAAATCGCGGGCTCTGCGAAACAATTTTTATTCGCGCTCGATACGCCCCTTGCCGCGCCAGCGACCTCTCGGTGCGAACAAACGTGATTGGAGGAGAGAATCTCTCACATACCGTATATATAATTGCGAATTTTTAAACATTCAGGCCCGAATTCATAGTCGCTTCTCAAATCTTAGATCTCGTTTCCACTCTCAAATTTCAGCTCTCAGGGCGATGTCCCATTGAGCGGAAATCTATAGCGGAACGGAATGTGCGGAACCAGCTCGACCAATCGTAACCATAGAAAAAGCGAAGGAAAGAAAACGGAATGGCTATGATTGGTCGAGCTGGTTCCGCACATTCCGTTCCGCTATAGATTTCCGCTCAATGGGACATC